CCCTCCTCTGCTCTGAACCCTCCATGGCTCCCATCCACCCTGTCCTTTCCTCCAAGTCTGTCCTCCCACAGAGAGCAGAGGGCGCCTGTGAGCACCTGAGTCCAGTCATGACCCTCTGCTTTGAACATTCTAAGTCTCCCATTTACTTGGGGTATAAGCCAAAGTCCTCCCTGTGGCCACCAACCCTATGCCTGACCTGTCCCTGTCACCCTGTCACCGCCCTGTTCTCATCTTCTTGCCCTGATTTTCTCCATTCTACTTGTTCAGTCTTTCCAATCACACTGGCCTCCTTGCTGCTCCTCAAACACACCAAGCATTTCCAATCCCCTCCTGTGCTAGGCTGTTATTCTTGAGGGAGCAGAATCTCTTGGCACTCACCTTGATCACCATCTCAAAGGTAAAGACGCCTGTGAAAACGTAGTCAAAATATCGTAGCACCTGCAGGGGACAAAAGCAAGGGGGCAGTGGGTCATGGCTTGCTCTAGCTGAGCCCCTGTGAACCTAGCGATGGGCCACTGTGGGGGGTGTTCAGCCATCAGCAAAGTCCACAAGGAGAAGTGTCTCCACTCAGAGGAAGCAACCCAGACGCCCAGTACCCTTGGGCAGGGTGTGTACTGCACAAGGGCCCCTACTCCCTTGTCTCACGGTGTAGATTTGTATGTTGTGGAATAAACTGTCCAGCAGATGGCAGCAAAGTCCTAACAAAACTACTCTATTAAGCTGGTTTGCTGACCAACGGGAAGGGCGCCTTTTTTATTTGCCAAGGCCAGGTGGTGTCTGCCTGGACAAACAATGTCCTGCAGCCTGGGTCCTCTCATGTCTCTGATGTGAGGCTGTTGTCAGGATTGTGATTGTGGAGGCACAGTGCCTCCCACATGGTTAAACACAAGGGGTACTCCATCAGCTTCTTGGTAAGGGCTGATAATCACAGAGTACCGCCAGCAGAGGGCCCAGGTCAGGGACCTTCTGCGGCTCCCACCTCACTNATGGTTAAACACAAGGGGTACTCCATCAGCTTCTTGGTAAGGGCTGATAATCACAGAGTACCGCCAGCAGAGGGCCCAGGTAAAAACCAAAGTCTTCCCCATGGCCCTCAAAGCCCTGCACGATCTGCCCGGTCACCTCCCTGTCCTCATCTTCTCTCACTCTCCTCCTCACTTGCTTGGATCCTGCCACCTAGGATTTCCTCACCTCAGGGCCTTTGCACACACTGTTCCCTCTGTCTGAAATGCTCTTCCACATGTCCCACCCAATTCCCTCTCTTTCGTCCTTTGTGGCTTGGTTCAAATATCACTTTCTCAGTGAGGTCTTCTCTGATCGCCTGTTTAAAATGTCACTTCCTGGCACTTGCTATCGTCCTTACCTAGTCTGTCCTCCACCTTCCACACTTATCACTTTCTCACAAACCCCTTGTTACAGTTATTAATAATCTCATTGTCCATCTTCCCTACATCAATGTCAGCTCCTTGAGGGCAGGGACGCTTGTCTGTCCCTGTGGCATCTCCAGCTCACAGTACAGCGCCAGGCATACAGCAGGTGCTCAAGAAGTGTTTGCTGAATGAATGCATGAATAGCTGAAGCTGCACTAGGTCCTTCAGGAGCTGATCTCTGTGATCTGTATGGTCACAACTCACTTTCCCATTATGTGTGGGGCTTGAAGGGCCATCAGGGACCAGCATGGCCAGTGAGTGAGGTGGCAAGCACAAGGGGCTGGAAGGAGCTGGGTAGGCAGAGGAGATGGTGGAGGGAGAGCATTGCAGGTGCGCCAAACAGAGGGTACAGCATGGCCAAATGCCTGGCGCTCTGTGAGTTCTGGGAAGGCAGGGACCATCTCATACCCTGTCAATCCTCGATGTTTACTCTGTGCCTGGCACACAGTAGTTATTCATTAAAGAGCAACTAAATAAAGTAATGAATGGAAGGAAGGGAGGAAAGAAGGAAGAAATGGAGTGGGCAGGCCAGATGGTTAGGTGAATCCAGTTCTGGAGAGTTGAGGAAGTGGGGTAAGAGGAAATCAAAAGTCCAATAAATCAGATTCAACCATATCTAATATTTAGATCCTTTTGATCTATATAAGTGGCAATTTTCTGTGGCTCAGTCTAATCCCAAAAGGTTCTCAGTCTCGTTTACCACAGGAGTAATGTAAATCAAAGACCCCATGAGATTCCCTTCCACACCCACCAGGTCGGCCAAATGAAAGAGCCACCAGCATCAAGTGTTGACACTGCTGTGGAGCAGGAGGAGCCCCATGTGCTGCCAGCGAAACCATCACATCATCCAGTAAACATCTGGTCACACCTAGTGAGTCCAACCAGTGCAAATTCTATGATCCAAAAACTCCATTTCTGGTTTCACACCCTGGGGAAAGTCATGCCCAGGTGCCCCAGAGACATGTCAGGTGAGGGGAGTATTACGATTCTAAAGCAGAGACACCCCAAGTGCTCACCAACTGGAAGATGAAGAAATGAATCATGCTGCATAGTGGAACATTAAACAGCAATGAAAAAGGATGGCCGCCACTACCCACAGCCATACGCCCTCATCTCTCAGCAGACACAACGCTGGGTGACGGAAGCAAGGCACAGAATGATTCCGCCTGCTTAGTGTTAGAAATGGGCAAAAATAATTCTAGTGTTTAAGGACGCTCATGCAGGTGGGAAAGTCGGAGAAGCTAAGAAATGCTCCTTCCAGAAGTGGGGTTGTGGTTACCTCTAGGGTAGGGTTTTTCAAGCTTGACACCATCGACATTTGGGGTTGGATCACTCGCTGTAGGGAGCTGCCCTGTGCACGCTGTAGGCAATGAGCAGCGTCCCAGGCCTCCACCTTCTAGATGCCAGTAGCACCCCCCTGCCCACCCCAAGTTATGACAACCTAACATGTCTCCAGATGGTGTCCCTGATTGTGAACCCCCTCCAGAAGGAAGAAGAGGGGCAACTGAGTTGGCACCAGAAGGGCGGTTCTATACTATTTCCTGCCCCTGGTGGTGGTTTCATGGGTGTGTGTGCACTTTAAAAAATATATATATATCTTTACTGATTTCAGAGAGAGGAAGGGAGGGGGGGAGAGAGAGATAGAAACATCAATGATGAGAGGGTTGTCACTGATCGGCTGCCTCCTGCACGCCCCCGACTGGGGATCGAGCCCGCAACCCAGGTGTGTGCCCTGACTGGGAATCGAACTGTGGTCTCCTGGATTCTAGGTCGATGCTCAATCCCTGAGCCACGCCTGGCCGGGGAAGGGTGTGTGCACTTTAAAATCCTTGGTAAATGGATCATGCATTTTCTAGGCACTTTTCTGAGGCCTGTCCTCGTTTGGCTAATATAAAGAACTCTGGGTGGGGTCCCTGGGCATCAGATGGCAGTACAGGGCCACCGTCTTCTTGACCAGGAAAGAGCTTTGTGAGGAGAAGTTTCAACTGTGAGATGGAGTGGGGAGCAGATGTTTTGCAAAACACCCCATGAGGGCTGGTTGGAGCCCTGCCTGGGTGCCCACAGTCCTGGGAGCTGCAGTCCCCCTAGCCCCCTCACACCCCTCCCCTCTCTGCAGGAGAGAGAACCTTCTCTATGTCTCCTGGAGGCCCCTGGGGAACTGGGCAGATAACGGAGTATAAACTCAGCCCTGCCCTGAAGCTGGTTTCCTCCAGGAGCCGTGTTCTAATTATTTCCTTCCATTTTGCTGCCCTGCCCCCGCCCCTGCAGTAGGGTCCCCAGGAGGCCTGCTAGGCCTGCAAAAAAAGGGAAAGTGCAAGGTAAGCTGCCAACAGGAGGCCTTGATTTATGGGGCCCTCCAGCCCCACGAGGCTCCTAGCTCACTTAGGGAGGGTGGCAGGGCCTCACTCCCAGTGGAAAATGTACCTTTGGTGCTGGGCAGGGGGGAGTGATGGGGACAGGAGCTGGGGAAGTAGGTACCGCTGCCAGTCCAGCCTCTGCCACACCCTTGCCTGCCAGTGCCTCAGTTTCCCCTCTCAACCACTGGCACACATTGATTCTTAACTAGCAGGCTTCAAGGGGGGCTGGACGCAGAGTAGATGCTCAGTGAAGGGAGATGGTTGGAAAAAAAGTAGCGGGATCTCTAGGGTAGATCAAATTGGGATTCTGCTGTGTGATCCTGGACCAGTCATTTAACTTCCCTGAGCCTGTTTTCCCAACTATCCAATATGGATACTTGGGAAGGCTCGCATGCCAAATGCCCTGGGGTGATGCCTGGAACACAGCAAGTGCTCAATTAATAGGGGCTGTTCACAGACCCTCGACTGCCCAAAGAGAGCTTTTTAGTTCCCCAAAAAGCTAAAAATTTAGGTTGTTTCTGAGTGAAAATAATCCTTTTTAAAACTTCTTGTTGAAATGGAAGAGTGCTTGGTGAGACCTGGCTGCCTCTGGAGCACCCCCTGCCCGAGTACCCCCTACATTCTGCAGAGAAAGTACAACCCCACATTCTGTGAACTTCACTCCTTGCACCAGGGACTCTAGTTTTCTGGGCTACTGTTTCTTCACCAGGTGCATAGAGCCACCGCCTCCTCAAGGATCCTACTCTCCAGAACATCCCCAAAGAACTGGAACTTCCCCTCCTGACCAGCATCCCTTCCACCCTGGCTATGAGCTTTTGGATGCAGGAAAAAGTGGCCCAAGGCAGAGAAGCTGGGCTGGGGAGGGGATGCTGGGTGGGACTCACATTGTTCCGTGGTGCGTTGGGCTGCACGGGGTCCTCAGCCGCCAGGGCAATACTGCTCATGGCGATGACCATTAGGATGCACATCTCAAAGTAGCGCAGGTTCAGAATGTAATGGCACAGGCGGCGAAGGCTGTTGGGAATAGACGGGCGTGCAGAGGTTCACTCAGACCATGGGCTCGCAAGCCCTTTCCTTCTGTCATACCCTTATGTCATCTAACACTACCTGAGATCTCTCACTCCCAAAGTCCCACGCCCAGCAAACTATCAAGCGCCTACATCTGGGAGTGCACAAGGGTCCTAACATCCCAAGAAGGTAGGGGGCCCTCAACTAGCGAAGATATTCACATGCCCTGTTTATAAGTTCTTATCACTCCCAAACAACCCTCTTGGAACATCTGATTCCCAGGCTGGATTGTCCTTGATTCTGTAGGAGATCATAAAATGGCCTATGGTTAAACAAAACTGGGCAACTCTGGTTTAAACATATTTCTTTAAAACAAAATGAGTACAGTGACCTTAGGCAAGTTACTTCCCTGCTCTGTGTTCTCATCTGTGAAGTGGCCATAACAATAGGGCCTAACTCACAAGAAGGTGGGGATCAAAGAGTTAACTATAGGGGCTCCAAAAGTTAGTTACTTAAATTATGAATTACAAGCCTTATTAGAGCCTTTAATATGCTAATAGATAATACTTAAGCACTTAACAGTTTAAGTGGAGCTAAAAATAATAAATATGTCATAGGTTGTATGAATGGCAGTAGGAATGAGTGATAAAGAACAGGGATGCTGGAGTCAGTCTGTGTCTGGGCTCCCCAACTTGCTTGCTGTCTAACTTTGGGCAGGTGACTTCACCTTCCTGGGCCTCGGTTTCTTCATTTGTCAAATAGGACTAAGCATAGTACCAATCCCATAGGATTATTATGAGATTTTTTTTTTTAACCTGTAGAGCACTCAGAACCATGCCAGGCACAAAGTAAGGACCACGTAAATATTTCTCTAGTAAAACAGGTAATGTCAACCAAATAAAATTAAACGCATAGGGTGAGCCCCAAACAGGCCAGTTGTAGAAAGCAGTTACCGCTTCCCCCCAGCTTATTTGACATGATTCTTTGTTGAGAAGCATTTTGAGGGACCAGAGTTTCAAGGAATACCCTTTGGAAAAACGTAATCCTAAAATAATGCTGAGTCACCACGACATGCACGTGGTAGGTTTCTCTCCTAAATAATCCATCCTCGAGGACGCCCGTGACGGGGGCCGTGGAGCGCAGGCAGAGGACGCGCGCTCAGAGCGCAAACCCCGGTGGCGCGGAGGTCAGTCAGGGGCCGCCGCGCCCGGTTGTACAGGCTGTCGAGTGACCTTAGGCGAGTGACTGCACAAGGGGCCACTTGCAAGGGGCCTCTCTCATATCATGGACAGTGGAGATTTGGATATTTATGACAAAGATTTCCCAGCTGATGGCAGGAGTGGGTCTTTTCCAACAAAATCAATACTTTATGACAAATTTCTATCTTATGTGACTCAAGAAAAGGGCATTATTAAAAAATTTGCTCAATGGTCCCTTTTTGACTAAGGGTGGTCTTGGAGGCCCCCTCCCCACCCCCGGCCTGGCCTGACTCCCTCCGCCCCAGCTGTGGGTCGTACTCACGGGTTGGTCGTGGAAAGGATAAACATGGAACTGTAGGGGGGCATGGGCTTGGGGCCGTCTTCCCCGGGGTCGTCTTCCTCCTCCTCCTTCTTCTCTTCCTCTTTTTTTGGCAGTGGGTCTGGGTTGGCGTTTTTGTTCACTGTTGGGACAAGAACCAACACAGGGCTCCCGCCACGATTTTCCACAAGCCTCTGGGCTCCTGTTCACTCCCCAGAGCAGGCAGTAAGCAGCTGACACTGATAAAGTGCATACTATGTGCCAGGCACCATATTATGCCGTTTAATCCTCACATAACGCTATGAGGTTGCTACTTTATGTTCCCCATTTTACAGATGAGAAAACTGAGGCACAGCGAGGCAAAGTGACTTGCCTAAGGTCACACACCTGGGAAGTGGCAGAGCTGGGACTTGAACCCCAGGCAGCCTGGCCCCAGAGTGCCTGCTCTCAACTACTCTACAGCCTTGAGTCTGGAGGGACCCTCACAGGATATTAACACAGTCCTGCCTCCATCTCATGATGCTCTTCAGACTGTCACTTGAAGGCAGGCAGGGTGAGTTCCAATATCCCACTTTACAGGTGGGGATACTGAGCTTACCTACTGTCAAACTGCAGGGTCCCCCCCCATTAACATCCCTCTCCTGACCAGGGCCAGGAGCTACCACCCTCCCAACATTGATTCTGTAACTTCACCTCACTATATGTCCACAGGCAGACTGAACCTCCCTGAGTCTCAGTTTTTCCATCTGTAAAATGGGCACAATGACAAGATCCACCATATGGGACTGTGCATTTACAGAACAGACTCATGAAAACCTCTTGCACAGAACTGACACTAGGAGAACTGGGTTACTATTATTATTCTAGGAAGTGACAAACTCACTGGGTCACTTTCAAATTCCTAGTGCTTCCCTGGTCCCAATCTCAGATGGGGGATGGAGTGGGGGGCCGTAAGAACTACCGATACCTCAAGGGCCTAGACCTGCGCTGTTCAATGAAACATGCTAATCCCGACGGTGGTGTGCTGTAAGCACACAGATGTCGAAGTCTGAGTGCGGGAAAGAGAATGTTACATAGCTTATTAATAATTTAAAAAATATTGATCACGTGTTGAATGGTAACATTTTGGATATAAATAACATTTTGCATTAAATATAATTTACTATTAGTTTATTTTACCTACTTGTATTTCTTTTATATTTTTCAATCATTCCCTCCCTCCCTCCCTCCCCCCCCCCCCCCCCCCCCCCCCC